CCGAGATGGCGAAATCGAGAAATCGTAGCTGCGTGTATTGCATACCCGACATGTGCCGGACGACTGCCGGTGTGACTACGCTTGTTTCGCAGATGCGAGCGCAAAGGGGCCTTATCTACAGAACAAAGCGGACATTTGCGCACGAGTTATTCCTTGCAGTTTGTTTGAATAAACCTATTATCAGCTAAAATAATAATTGGACATTATATTTATGCATGCAGCTCAGTTTAAAGTGCAGTGAGTCATGCCGATCGCAATCGTGTGCGAACAACCAAGATTATGATGCGAGCCAGTAGACATGCTGCGATTGTTTGGCGCTATATAATGGTGGCCCATTGTTTTCATCTTACGTTGCGCAGTCTATTATTGCTTTCATATTTCATAACGTCTTTCTCTCGCATAACATTCATTGAGCATTAGTCTGAACGGGTGCAGAAATGATAGGATATATCATTTCTGCACCCGTTCAGACTAATGCTTATTGAATGTTATATATATATATATATATATATATATATGCGTGCGTTATAGGTTTAGGCGTTTGGGTGTTTGTGTTCACGTGCGCGTGTTTGCGTGTGTGTTTGTGTGTATGCGTGTGTCCGCACATGTTTATGTAGATATTTATTTATGTATAGTCGGTTTATCAACCAAGCCCACGTCGTACCGATTCAATGTAAAGATATATCTTTAACAAAAATCTCTATGAGCAGTTTTTTGCCGATCGTTCAAACGTTCCGTTTGCCTAAACGAACGTTCACAAAGGAGCGTACATTCGAGATGTGAATGCATGGATGCGTGGTGTATAGACAGTAACGAAATGCATCCGATCTACCGCCTGAGAGATCGGTACTGGTAACACCGAATGCCGCGAGAAAGAAATTAAAAATCGATACGATCTAATCGATGACCCACGTAGTCGATACAGGCACGTGCGCGATGCGTACGTGTGATTTCACTACTTGAGCCTGTTCACAATAGCGAAACACGGATGTATGGGACGCATATCTATTGGAACATTTTTCGTATAGCGGTTTCAACCTGTTTTACAAATAAAACGAGGCCCGTTTTCTATATTCGCACCAACTGTTACTTTACGATGTTTCGTGAAAGCCCCACATACAAGTATACACACACAAATATCTATATCTATAATATCTATATTTATATCAATCTATATCTATATATACATCTACATCTACATCTATATCTACATATATCTATCTATATATCGATCCATGTCTTTAACTAGAACTAAATATTTACATAAACATCTATATTTACATCTACAGCTATATTTACATCTGCACTTATCAATTTTTATATTTATATTTATGTCTATACACACACAATAGTTGGTACAGTGTAATTATAATAACAAATACAATGCGCTCGCACGCACCTTATAAAGCATAATATCGAATTGTACATGTCATAACGCTCACGCGAATTCGTAATTCGGAAACGTTTTAGACATTGTCCGTTGAATCACTTATTGCCTGACCCGCAGCTAAACGTATAAACAGATGCCGACGTCAATGAACGATGATGATGCACAAGCCAATGCAATAGTGCTATAAATGCGCGCAAGTGGTTTTCTAAACCGGGGCATGTGTGGGTCGAGGGTAATCCGGATTTTAAACAAAAACCGTTTGATGTTAATGCTATAGGTATCCATCCTTCTGCTTTATGCAAACAGTCATAGCAAAATCCCATCAAATCAGATGTTTAGCGTCTCTGCGTCGCAAATCTAATAACGCTGGACATATTCGGAAACGTAACGGTAATCTGAGCACGATTAGATCAGAACGCTTTCGCTCTATGGATTCGCTATCGACTGAAATGTCAAAGCATATTAAACCCAGTCTTGCGTACAAACGTGCTTACGAAATATATTATTTATTTCATTTATTTGGCAGCCTTTTAGTTTGTTTCTTTGCTCTATTATGGTGATTTATTATTAACAGCCTTATTGATCATTAGTGCTTGATGTTGAAGCGCGGTAAATCCGCGTGGCGCCAAAAAGCAGACGAAAACGGGCGCGTGCACTTCATCGGCATCGTGCGCGGCGCTCTGTGATTGCTGCTGCCAGCGACAGACGTACGTGCCGCGAGAGAAATTAATTATTGAGATTTAATTTATTGCTTTCCAATCTCGTCCGATTCTATACGCTGCGACGGGCCGCATTACTCGGGTATCTCTCATGGAGCCATTCGCCCCTTTCGCTAGCTGAGCTTCCCATTGTTATTGTGGCAGTCACGTGATCGCATCCCGTGAAGCGTCGCCCAGGCAACACAATAGGAGCCGCCATTGCGCGGTGGTGCGGAAGCTTTGATAGGATGATAGTGGTTAACTTTGTTGTTTAGCCCACGTTTTGGGGGCAGGGTGATTTTAATTAGCGGTGCCGATTCCGTTTTATGGACGCGCGGGTTAGCTTGCATGGTAGCAGTCTCACACTTCTCTAGACTTCAAAATCATTTCGTCGTGCCCCCCAGTGCGTGAGCAACTGTTCACGACAACGCGGGCGGAAAAAAGACTCCTCGTTAGACCAAAAAATCAAAGCCTCTTTTTACGTTCGTAATGCAATGATTAGCCGTTGTAGGATGGCGGGGCAAGGGCGCCACAAGTATAGATTTAAATGAGTTAAAGCACAACCTGAGCGTTCACGTACCGTTGTCGTATCCATCGTCATAATGTTATTCCGCTTCTTTTGTAACGATCGCGTTTTTTCTTCGTATTCTCGTGTTTTTTTCTTCTCTCGTCGACATAAGCCGATGCTGAGTGACGGGGTACGGCGGCCGCGCGGTTGAGTCTGCGTTAATGTGAACTGAGTGTAATTCATAGTGAGGGCGACCGACTATAGCCATGGCCGCGCACGTTGCCGCCGCCCTTCGTGTTTCGTTTAACGAAATGTCGCTGCAGCACGTAATAGTGCTTTATATATTCTTTTACATTTGTCTTTACGAGAAGGAATTAGAGATGCCGCGTACATGCCGCGTGTATATAGAGAGAGAGAGTTGACGTGTTGACTCTGATGCGGCCGGATCGGCAGTAATTTTTAGCAATTTTCTTCACGAACATTTTATCGCGAAGTAGTTAGTGTTTGATGCTAAGAGTGGCTATCGTAAAACGCTACTGATTTTTAAATTATACAAGCAGGCAATAATTCGAAACAAACGGATATTTATAAGTGGTATTATGACCTATTTGGATAGGATTTTATATCGCATATATCTATCTACCTATATCTATATGATCTATATTATATATATATATATATATATATATATATATATATCTTTGTCGCTGCAAATCTTACCAACGCCTGACGGAGCATTTTCGAAAATTTCTACGACTATCTGAAACGCGTCGCGATTTTACCCGCGCGGCATCTGCTAGCCGCTTGCCGGTCGCGATCACGCGGGTCATTCACGTGTTGGACGTGCCGCTGCGCGGCTGGGATAAAACAGATCTTGCCGCTGCATCGGCGATGCAAATCTCGCCTCGATTAACCCGGCAGCGGCTCGGGCCGCGTCGTAAATCACACGCGCAGTTGTCCACACAATCGCTATACGACCGCTAGCGCGGCGCGTCCGCCTACCAATGGCCGCCGTCTCATCGTGACCGCCGTGGCAGGCGCGTGTCGCATGAAAAACGAACGCGCCGCAGAAAATCTCGTCCCGCGCGCTCCGATCATGTTGACAAGGCGGCCAGATTCGGCCGTCTCGCGGCACACACGGGCCGTCAATTAGCCCCGACCTTTCCTGCGATCGTGTAGGCAGATTCATGCGCCTTCATCTCACCGATTCATTCGAAGTTTCCTGTTGTACATGCAGTATATATATATGCTATATATATATATATATCATATATATATATACTTAACCAGACGAGAGAGGACAGAGGAGTATGCTGCGCAGGATCGGGAGAGAGAGACGAGAGAGCAGATGAGGAGCAGAGCAGAGTGACAGAGGAGCGAGTGCAATATAGAAAGCCAGGTGC